TTCGAAACCCTTGGCGTACACTTATTCAAAGGCCTGCCTCCGAGCTTCTAATCGAGTATGTGAAAGGGCACGAGCCAGTTTGAGCTCGGCCTTGTCAGATATCTCCCTGGCTCGAGCATTCGCTGCAGCATCTTCCCGATACGAGGATATAAGTTCATCGGCTTCAGAATTGGCCGCAGATAACGCGGCAGCCGACTCAGCATGAAGCCCCTTGAATTTGTGAGCCTCCTCTTTAGCACGTTGAAGAAGACTCTTAAGTCGAGGCTAGATCCTCCCGGAGAGTATCCCTTTCCAAGGTCGTGCTATCCTTGTACCGCTTCAGCTCAAGGATCTCGACATCTTTGGCTGCAATCTCTTCCCGAAGCTGCCCCGCTAGGTCATCCTTTTGCTCAATCTGCAAATGTCGAGTCAAGGTGATAAACACCGAGTTATGAAAACAAAATTCAAGCTCAAAAATACCGAACTACCTGCTAGATGAAATTGGCCTGCTCTTGGAGCACTTTCTCAGAACTTGCTCGAAGGTTGTTCTGCTCCTCCTCCCTTTGGGCATATAGAATTTTTAGCTCATTCGACTCCGAAGCGAGCTTCTCAAACTCCCCCTCACAATGAGTCAGATAAGCTCGTAACATGGAGAAGGCCTGATCGTACAACATCGTGACCTATAGCACGAAGGAAAGGAGTTAGAAAAACAAAGATAAAAACTCAAGACACAAAGGTTATGTCAAAAAATCACCTATTTTGGAGTTTCGCAGCCTCCTCGAGAATGACTGGAGCATCGAGATCAGCGTCCTCTTCCATATCGGCAAAAAAAATCTCCAAATGTCTCATCCACTCCTTGGGATACCCCCACATCGGGAGTCTCCCTGTTCTGGGCATCCCGTATTTTCCCTGGGGAAAACGACGGGCCTGATTGAAGACCGCCCATGACATCAACCTCTATCGAGGCTTTCCCTCGCCCTCGAAGGGCCTCAGCGCGGGATCCTCTAACTACTCCAACCAAGTGTTCATCGGCACAAGTTGTATCCTGTTCGATGGTCGGATCGGGGACTGCATCCAAACCCTCCTTGAGAGTCTCCTCAATACAAGGTGGGACCGCATCGGCCACCTCTAACTCAGCAGTCTTCTGCCCGGCAACCTTCAAAGCATCGGCGCTTCGTCTTGCCCTATGTACCAGTGGGCAACCGTCATCGTCTTCAGCACGAAGACTCTCAGCCGCTGCCGGAGTTAGGATCGTTGCATTGGCCCTGGGTTTTCGAGCCTTAGCTCTCTTTGATGTCGAAGACTCCGCCGGCGTCTCCATCTTTCTCTTTCTATCCTTGGCAGGTTTTTGGGTCTCCTCGTCGCCAAAAGGAGGCGATCTCATCGAAACGACTTCCCCAAGGCCTGTACAAGCGTAAAATATCGAGCTATCGCCAAGAAATCTATTTATAAGGAATTTAGGGGTGACAACGGTGAGGACGTACCATGGCTTTTGGCCTCCCATCGAGTATTGTCCAAATCACGCCAAATGCGCTTGTGATATGAGGAGGTGGAGTTCAAAGAGGAAAAGAGGACATTCAGATGATAAAGCATGCTCGGTGTAACGACACTTACGTCTCATATTCCATTTCTCAGGGAATGGCATCTTCTCAGTAGGGACGAGTCCGAAGTCCTGACTCGAACGAAACGGCTCATCCACCCCCGGTCTTTATCTTCGTCAGTGTTGGCAAAAAATGCTTTGGCAGATCGATGACGCAGTTTGACTAGGCCCCCTCGATAGAGGCGAGGGCTATAAAATCTGATCAGATGATCGAGGGTGAAAGACATCCCCTCGACCATGTTAGAGAAATATCTAATCAAATAGACGATTCTCCAAAAAGAGGGATAAATTTGACCAAGCGTCATTCGATATTGTCGACAAAAATCGAGTGTCACCGGGTTTATCGGTGGAGAAGAAGAATCTACAGGACCTAAGGTAAAAGGACACACATACACGCTGAGGAAACCAAGTCTATGTGTAGTTATATCCTCTTCCGAAGAAGGGATATCTACTTGTACCACCTCTCCCCAGCGGTAATCTATTTTCACCTTCTCTATATCGGTTATTAGACTAATGTACCGAGACATGGGCTCGCATCGGCCCGGTATCGAAGAAGGTTTATCAATTTTGAAATCGGAGGATGTATCGAAGGTCCTAGGAACACACTCCTCAACGCTGGGAGGCACTACCTTTTTGCTCTTAGACGAGCGTGATGAAGAAGGGGCTTCCCCTTTTGAGGTACTGTCTTAGAAGTTTTGGCCATGGTTATAACGAAGTTTCAACACAAGCTGACGAAGAAGTGAACGCAGAAGAAGGGTGAAAACAGGAAACTGTTAACGAAGATTTGAAGATCTGAAGATGTTGCAAAGGTTTAAAAGGTAGGGAATTGGAGTATATATAAGTCATCTAGGTGAATTTGAGAAGTTAAAAGGGCGACCAATAGCGGTTCGTGGGCTTTTCGAGAACCGTCTTGACAAGACCTCTGTATAGCTTTTCTGTCACATCATTTAATGATCTCACGTGGCTAACGTCACAATGGGGATATCGAGGAGGCAAGAACTCAAGATCGTTTCTTATCATTTTATTCTAAGAAACGCGGGGACTATCTGTATACGGCCAAAATTGGAGATTTCGACTTTGGGATTATTATGGCACTCCACGCTCAAACTCGAGGAGCTAGAAGCAAAATTTGAGGCGTGACCCCGAGGTGCATCCCTCGAGGGAGTATATCGAAGGGCAATCTCGGAGCAGTACAAATCGATAATCGTCATAGGAAGGTGGGAAATCTCCCAAGGACACGTGGTTAGAGCTAACCAGGTCAGCAAGAATAGTACAAATCCGCACTGAGCTATTATACAGATGTACCAATAGCATTTCCTCGTCATTATTAGACATGTACTATGTTGGGGACCCTACCCCCCCCCCCCCCCTATATAAAGGAGACCCTTATCATTTTGTAAGAAATTATTGAATAGAATAGAACATTCTCTACTTCTCTTGTCTAAACATGCTCAACAATTACTCTACATATTCATTGCTTGTTCATTCGTTGTTCATTTATTGTTCTTCATTTATTGCCCATTATTAACGCAAAAGACTATCTTTGAGGCCCTCATTATCATTGATTCTTCATCAATTGTTCATTGCTACCAGCCCTATCTAGACCTCGAGGCCCCTGCTCCAGCCAGCTCGAGGCTCAGTTTTGCAATAGCTTTGGTTCGCATATCTTATTCACTTTACTTATACTTAGCATCTATTGTCTAACAACTATTATAAAAATAAACCACACATTTTTAGAACCATAAAATCAAATATAATTGTCGATACCATTTTCAAGGTAAATAAATTTCTTTCTATGTTTGAAAATGATTTATCTTTATGCAATGTTTTATAGCCACACAAAATATATGTGCCTCATTTTATACCACAAGTTCAAAAATCTTCTCTTATATCTAATACTTCATGCTCAATCAAATAGGTTCACATAAATTAAAACGGAGGGAGCATGTATTTAACAGAGAAAAGAAAGAAAGCAAAAAAAAATTTACATTGCGAAAGTTGGTAGAAGACATTAATGTGAACAGTTAATGTATAAAAGTCAATAATACAATCCTTCTAGGAATCTAGGTTGAGTAGAGTATCATTTTCTTAACTTTGGGGACTAATCCAATAATTTACTTGAGAATAAAGGGTCCACTCATATCATTGACCTAATTTCAAACGTTATACGACTACACGCAAACAGAAGACGAAAATTCAAAGGTTTTAACATTAGAATAAGTTATCTTTGTCATCTAAGGGTGTGAATCTTAGATACCAAGGTTCAAATTTCAACGGAAACAAAAAATACTAAATAAATCCTTATTATTTGTCTAATCTTTAATGGATAGAATTAATTGATATTTATATTTGTGAAAGATAAAATATACCCGTAAAATATTTGAGGTGTGGACAAAAAAAGGGCAGCGCATATAAAAACATCTTATATTCATATAGGGTCGGAGGAAGGGTCGTACCCCAAGAGGGGTGACGCTAACAGTATAACCTAATGCAAGCGTTGCTTCTATGGCTCGAACCTGTGACCTATAGATCATACAAAGACAATTTTACCGTTCTTCCATGATTTGGAATGTGAACAAACTAGACCAAACACTATTGCCCTAAAAAGATGCCAAGGTAACCTGTGATTAGTGATAGGAAACGGGCAGGTCGGGTCGAATATGCACGGGTCGAAAACGAGTAATTTAAAAACAAATAAATTATCTGATCCGACTCATATTTAATATGAATAAAAAATAGATTAACCGGCGGATGATATGGGCAACCGTATTATCCATGACTTTTTGAATATGATCATTTTTTAAAAAATTCTTAGTGAGCGTTCGGATATACGAATTGTAATATTCCAAAAAAGGGTGAAATTTTTTTTCAAGTGAAATGGTATTTGAAATTTAGAGTTGTGTTTGGACATGAATAGAATTTTGAATTTTTTATGAAATTTTATGAGTGGTTTGAGTAAAAATTTTGAAAAACAACTTTTTAAATTTTCGTAAATTTCCAAAATGCAACTTCAAGTGAAAATTGAAAATTTTATGAACAAACGATGATTTCAGAAAAAAGTAAAAAATTCCTTATGTCCAAACGGGCTCTAGTCTCCCAAACTTAAGTAACAACCAATTTGAGTCTTTACAATTGCAAAATTAAACCCATTAGTTATTTATTGATTATCCATTTCTAAGAGGATAATATGAATCTTGTCCATATTTAACCCGTGTTAAAAATATTCATTATCCAAAATATTTTTTAATGAATATTATGAATAAATAACTATATTTTTTATCCATTTTGTCACCACTATGTGTGATTAAAATAATAAATGGTTAATCAAGAAGCATAGACTAACGTACAAAAGTTGACATATTCTTTGAATTTGTTTCCACTTGGAGACGTCTTACAAGACCAAGTTCCAATTCACTAGTAACTTTGACCACAATCACAAAACCTTCTCTTCTCACACACTATAAATTCCATAAGCCAAAAACTCAAAATAAAACTCAAGCAATCATTTCAAAATCATCAATGGAAGTTTACAATAACAGGCTGATGCAAAAGATGCAGAGAAACATGGGAATAAGTTGCTGGGAAGAATTCGAAGGCGACGATTTTTACGATGAACTTAGAAGACAAGTGTTAATATTGACTACAGAAGATGAAGAAGATCATCAATATTCAAATGAAATCAAGAACTCGAACAAAGTAGAAATGAAATCTTATTCAGTTCTACAACCTGCAGGAGTTCATTTTTCTTGGTCTGGAGATAAAGAGGATAACAACAAAGTTCCAAAATGGTTATCAGATTTGTGGAGAAAAGGCAATAGAGATGAAGTGTTCAATGGAACTGGAGTTTTCATACCACATATTGTCAAATCCAGAAGAAGAAATAAGTCAAGTATGTTTCTATTTTCATATACAAAAGTATATGAAGTGAAGCTTTTGCGAAACTAGTAAAATTGCTATCATATGACCATGAGGTCACGCATTCGAGCTGTGAAAACAGCCTCTTAATTACAGAAATGTTGAGTAAAACTGCATACAATGGACCCTTGTGGTCCGATTTTTCTCCCGGCCCCGCGCATAGCTTGGGTAAAACTATCTGAAGGGAGCCTTGGCGTAACTAATAAAGTTGTTGTCATGTGACCAGAAGATCGCGGGTTCGAGCCGTGAAAACAGTCTCTTGCAGAAATGTAGGGTAAGGCTGCATACAATAGACCCTTGTGGTCCGGTCTTTTCTCGAACCCTGTGCATAGCAGGAACTCAGTGCACCAGTCTCATTTCAAGAATTTTCATTTTATATCTCTTGTTGCTTATATTCTTGTTCTTATGTCTGTCTCCAGGAAGGAAGAATACTGAAAGAGGAAAAGCATACAAGCCAGTGGCAGCAGGAAACTGCTAAAGCTTAGTTGTTTCAATAATCAAAATAAACCCATTGTATCAAATATTCATGTAGACAATGTAGTCATACAAAACTCTGAGGCTTTAGAGTATTAGCCATGTAAAGATTCTTTTATGAATTTAAAAGTTGAATCGCCAGATGCTTTAAAGGGCAATCCGATGCACTAAGTTTCCGCTATGCGCGGGGTCCGTGAAAGGTCAAGACCACAAAATTCTATTGTATGCAGACTTACCCTGTATTTCTGCAAGAGGCTGTTTTCACGACTCAAACCCGTGATCACCTGATCACATGGAAACAACTTTACTAGTTGTTTTACTATAGGAAAAAGGATAAATAGAGAAATGTGAGAAGAAGCTTTCTCCATAACCAAAAAGCAACATCAATTGCAACAAGCAGCAAGAAGGATGACACTTTTACACGCTACGATTTACTAAGGACTATATTCGAATAGGTGACTAACATTCCTAGTACAAGAAAATAGTTAGTTGTACCTCTAAAGAACCTAGAAAATAGTTTACAGATCCATACCTAATCGTCTCAAGATATTTTTGAGACGGTGTGGCTGGAGAAAGTAGCCAAGAACTATATGCTAGCATTGTACCAATTCCGAATCACTCACTTTTGAAAGTTGTGAGCTACCACATAACCACTATTTTCACAATTTAGAACTTACAAATGCATCACTTTTGTAGAGATGAATATTCGTGTTACTAGAGTTGGTCCTTGGGGCGTGCTAACCACAACGAGCTGAGTGCCCGAAGCCTTGACATGTAATCACTTATAACAAGCAGGGCTCGAGCAGCTTGACGAGTAGTCAAGATTCGATGCAACTGTTGCAAAGTTTGTTGTCTCAGAAGATCAGCCTAGCAAATAAGGAATCATAAAGGTGAACTCCATTGTATATAAAGAAAAAAAATAGTACATGTTATCGAGAACTTAAACCGAGGACAGTTACCTGATAAAGGAAGTTCTCAAGGGTGGCAAGCTTGCCCATTGCGATTGCCATTTGCCCCATATAGTCGGCTACGTTTCCGGAGCCAGTAGGGCCAAGAGACATCGATGAAAGTGTATCGACAAGAGATTGTTGCAGGGCTTCCATGCCTTGCGATAGGGCATCCTCGGCCTGCTGAGAAGACTGCTGCAAATTACATATGCCCATGAGCTGCTGCTCTGTCAACGGTTCAAGGTGGTTTCCAAGAATCTGTATTTCCAAAATCGGACATCAGTTTAAGAAAATAAAAAGCTATAAGAAATTACACTTTAAACAAGAGCCTAAGTTAACCTTTAGAAGCTCAGAAGAACGAAATCCGCCCAACCACATGAAACACCTTTCCGCAGGAGTCTTCCACATGCCCGACAGCATATGAAAAACATCTGATTTTGCTCCTACACTCTTTAACTTGAATATCTCGTCGTAATGTAACATTACTCCATCAACAAGAAGGCGCAGCTCATTATCTCCCCTGTGAGAATTTACAGCTGATCGGAGATCACTGATAAGTCGTTGATGGTCTTCTAGCCAACGTGCATAGTCCATGTCAAATGCCAATGCCCCTGTGCAAAGTATCATAAATTACCCAGTTTTAATGCAACGTCGTTAACTATGACAAAAGAAATGAATGCTACTAAGGGTGGAAATTTTCTAACCATTTCCACCGCAAGAAAGACTCTGATCCCCCGCATATCCATTTGCAATAAATATGCCCTGTGTCCAAGAAATTAGCAAGAGAGAGATGACTTATCAAACTCTGTCGGCGAGTCCTCTACTTACCAGTTGCGGAGGGAGAGAGATACCTGTTGGCGGGCTCGTTTTAGCTCCTGCTCTAACTGTGATAGTTTGAGCCTACTAGTCTCCAGCTGTTGAACATATGCCTGTGCAAAACAAAAAACATTATAATCATTTAAACGTCGAGTATCTAGAAGTTATATTGCACATTGACCAACAATGATCAACAACTTGGTAAGCCTAAACATTCAGCCAAGACTATTGAGCTATAACCATGCTTAAGATAATGCAACACCTGAGGTGACTTGATCTTGTCAATATTGCAGCAGAGCAAAACTCTAAGTTTCGGATTACTTGAAAATGCACCCCTTTAGCAACATATAAAAAACATACAAGACAAGAATATCATGTAATGTATAATTGCATAAAGTGGGACTTCCGTACACAAATTGCATTTGCTTTTTCCTACTTTTTTAGTGTTCAATTCCATATGGATGTTATCTAGTGTGTGAAGTAATGCGTGAGGTTTTGTTCGTCGCCAATGTATACATTAATGGGAACATTTTCTGAAGAAAAGTTATGTGACATCCCACAGTCACCAAGTAAAGTGAACTAAACAGGTCAAGCACAACTCAACTCATAGATGGTAAATACTCTGCCGTAGAAATCTCGTGGATAAAAAGTACCAAAAATTACCGGATGAGCCAAGTAAATTTCATTTAAATTTGAAAAAGATGAACATATTACTTTTTTCCTCAATCGACTTTTCCTAGCAGCTTCACGATTTTGAGCCAGCCTGCGCAGTGTCTGCAAGTAATCTTGCTTAAGTACATACAGAAGTAAAATGTAACCAACAGATACAATGGAATGAACAGCTATTGGAAGAAAGAGACGAGTAAAAAACTACAACAACCTTCTGATCTCCATGCTTTACTTTGGACTGATCAATGGAGTCCACAGCCATTAATGCACCATGTTGAACACCTTGGCCCTGTGATATAATAAAACAAATAAATGCAAACAGTTAACAATAGGGGTTTGTTTAGATATAAAGACACCAAATCATATCCAGATGTCTCTACCCTCTCGAGTTATGTTCTCTCTCGGGGGCTAAAACACCACAAAAGCAGTTGAAAATAACAAAAACAACCGGCTCATTCATTGAATACTCCCTAGCCATTCCCTTATCTGACCAAATCATTCATTAAATTCCAAAGATATTGCTTACTCGGTAATTAATCAATCGATATATTCAATTTATAAACCAAGATTTTGGGGTGACATAAGATCTTAATGCTACCCTACTAGGTTAACTTCAAATAAGTGAAGTTAATACCTCTCCTTCTGCCTAAAAAGTGAAATTCAATAAAAAGAAAACTAAAACTCCAGTACAACATTTTAATCTCAAGATCATTGCCATTAATTTTTAATTAATTATACATGAAACTATTATTAACTCACCAGCCCAACATATCATGAAAATAATGTAATATTAACCACTAATGAATCATCCCCATTATAACAACAACAACAATGAGCGGTTGTTTGGTTGGATTAATTGTCTCGGGATTAGTTATCCCGGAATTATTATCTTACCCTCCCACAGGAATAAAAATAATACGTACTACCATACCGGGAGATTAGTTTTACCGTGATTTCAATCCAACGAAACGTGGTTCTCAAATTTAATCCCGGAATTAATTATCCATTATCCCTCGTACCAAACGAGCCCTAATTGTGCCTCAATCACAACCAAGTTGGAGATGGATATATGAATCCTTGCTGTTTGTGTAGAGCCATAAAAGAAATAATAACAACAAAGAAAAGACAAGGATGGACTATTGCTAAATGTCAAAAATAGCAAGTAGGAGGGGGAAAAAGCTAAAAACCTGGTGGTTTCTTTCATCAGTATCAACATCTGTGGAAGTGTCAGTCTGCTGGCTGTGGCTATGGTCTGCAATACCAGAATCAGCCCAATTCTCAAAATGGCCATTTCCCAAAGCCACAGTACCACCACCTACAAGTCTGCCGCCGCTGCTGCCACCACCACCCACCATTGCTGTTTGTGCCTTGTGCAACATAAACCTCCCCCCTGCTTCCACCCCTCCTGTTTCTGATGACCCCATTTCTGTTGACCCTATACTCTGCACATTCATTCCCATTTTCACACTTCACATCATTAATTCAATACACAACATACATATACAGTATTACATATACTCCCTCCTTTCCAATTTATGTGACATAATTAAGCAAGACCTTTGAAGTAAGAAGTTAAAAACTATATTGCTCAGACTCTCCAAAAATGTTGCCGGGTGTGTGTCGGATCCTTCAAAAGTATCCATGTGAAGCAGCATTTTTGAGAGTCCCCGCGAGATAGGCTTTAAGTTAAATGCTTTTAAATAAGAGAGAATACATATCATTTACACACCTAAACTTTACGGGCGACCTTTTACTCCACTATTCTAAACTTAAGTGAATTTAATACCCCTTCAGTGATGACCTGGCGCAAGACGTGTAGTTCACTTTGTAGTTCACTTTCTTGAACGAACTAATAAGGAAATAGTGTCACGTAAACTGGAAAGGAGAGAGTAAGTACCAAGATTGTTAATATTTTGTGGGTTGAGGATCTTACCGTATTAAGTTCACCAAAATGCAAGTTATTATTTGAAGAAACAACAGCAACATTGTTTGGCCTCATCTCACCATATACTGAACCTTTCAAGAAACCAAAAAACAAACAACAACAAAAATCAAACTTTTTAAGGTCAACATCATACAAAAACTTAAAGACCAAGAAAAACATAAATTTTTAAATTGAGAAAGAGAATTGAATACTTCTGCTTAAATCAACAGCATCTTCTTGAGGAAATCCTGTAGACTGTTCAAGTTCTCCAATATCAGCAAAACGTACAGCTGCATGTCTACTTGCTTCATCACCTCTGTACAACAAATAGAAATTGAAACTTTAATCCCTGAATTAACTCATATATAAACTTAAACCCAAGAAAAAAAACAGAACTCAATAAACATGCACAAATCAAGTCGAAAATATGAAGAAAAAAAAATTGAACCTTTAAGCCATTTAATAAAAGAAGAACTAAAAAAATACAAGAAAATTTTTAAACTACATAAACATGAAAAAAAAAAACTGACCCTTTAAGCCATTTATTCAAACAAGAACTAAAAAACAAAACACCATTAACAAGCACAAATCAAGTTGAAAACATGAAAGAAAAATAAAATGAAAGAAAAAAGAGGAGAATGGCACCTGAGGTAAAAAGATGAGTGGCAATACATATTAGAATTGTTATTATTATTACTATTATTAAGAGTAACAGCTGGTAATACTGCTGCTTTGAAAGCTTGCATATTCTTTTGTTCTCTATATTCTCACCACCACCAAACTTCAACACAAATAAACTCTACTTTTCCCAACAATTTTGTCTGTATTTTTCTTTGTGCAGCTGCTTCACAAAGTTGGTGAAAGAAAACAACAACAAAAAATAAGTGTTGCTATATATAAGAGAGTAGAAAGCTATCTATTTTTTTCAACAAAAGATAGTGTATCAGTGAGGATTTTATTTGCAACAGTTAAATACTAGTACCTCCATTCCAATTTATGTGAACCTGTTTAATTAGGCACGGAATTTAAGAAAGAAGGAATACTTTTAGAATTTGTGATCCTAAACAAGTTAAATAGGCGCCCAGAGTATTTGTGTGGTTATAAAAGCTTCTCGTAAAGGATAGAATTGTAAGTTTAAGCTAAATTAATTCTAAATTTAGTAATGTGTCATTCTTTTGGAACGAATAAAAAAGAAAATAGGTTCGCATAAACCGGAACAGAGACACTAACAGCTTGTTTGAATGCTTGTTACTCGTTATATTATATTGTATTGTTACTTTAAATATAATTATATATTTTGATTGTTACTTAAATTTTATAATATTGTATTGTTGATTGTTACTTTAAATATAATTGCAAATTATTTTCTTCCAAAATTTCCCTACCAACAATAAAACAATACTAAATTTTTATTCCAAATTATTTTAACTTATCCATCCTACCAAACGAATTTAAGTAGCATTAGAAAGTCTGGGGATAGGCTCTCATCTTTTTTTGTCATTATTGTGAAATTGACCCCTTTGCCATTTGGGCAGTTTAGGCTCCCAATAACACCTTTATACATAACACTTTGCTTTTTCCAATATGTTACGTGGAGTATTATTTTGGTACAAAAATGGAGTTATCGTTAGAATCCACATGCTAAAATTGCTGTGATATTAGTGAAAAAATCAAGGCACCAAAAAAAGATATTCCTTTGAGCAAAAATAAGCATAAAATGGAGTTAAAAGTCCTTTTTTCGGTTCATAATAAGTGATATATTTATATTTTCATTTTGGTTCAAAATAAATATTCTTCCACATTATCAAGAAGAAATTAATTTAATTTTTTAATTTTACCCTTATTTATATATCAAGTTTCTAGCCCGTTTAGCCAAATTGCAAAAATAAACTTATTTTGAGAAGTACTTTTTTTCAAAAATGCTTTTTCAAAAGTAATTTTGGTGAAAGCAGTTTGTGTTTGACTAATTTATTTGAAAACTACTTATGAGTAGCAATTAGTATTTGGCCACGCTTTTAAAAATTACTTCTAAATATATTTTTCTCAAAAGTGCTTTTCAAAAATGTGCCTTTGGAGAGAAATAAAAAATTTATGCTTCTCCAAAACTGCTTCTGCTTCTACTCAAAAGTATTCTTTTCCTCTAAAAGTTTGGCGAAACACTTCAACTTTGAAAAAAAATACTTTTTTTTGTAAAAGAAGTGCCTTTGACTTGGAAAAGCTTGGCCAAACAGGTAATAAAAATATACAAATTTTAATTAATGATAATTTAATCAAAACACCTATTTTGTTAGGAGATAGTATTTTTCTTAAGGAATATATCAAAAACCTAAAAATCGTTTATTAAGAATCGCACTTAATTGAGGTTTGTGACAAATAATTGGATGAATTTCATACATGAAAGTTAAAAATACATAAAAAAAATATCAAAGAATTTTTCTTGCTTATTTATATCTCTCTTTTAATCGTTACGATGTTGTATTATCAAATTCTTTCATTTTAAAATTTACAGTCTTTTTTAAACGTTCAATTTCTATGCAGCGTGCACAATGTAATAATAAGAGGGTAAAAGAAACTTCCCGGTAGGTCAAAGACCGAAGCATTAGCAGCTCACGGGATACTCAGACTTCTCCCAGGTATGATCCTTTGTGCGGGCATCCCACACTTAGATCCAACCACATGGCTCACTTTTGCACACTTCCTGTGGCTTTGCTCCCCATGCTCAAAATCCTACAAAATAAAACAACACTACAAAAATAATACAATAAGAAAAAAAAATCAAAAATAAAAGAAAGCAGTAAAGCTGGGTTGCCTCCCAACAAGCGCCTAATTTAACGTCGCGACACGACGTGAACCACTTATTCCTCCACCTCGAACTTATGAATTGTACCCCTAACATGGCATCCAGTCTACGGTTGTGCTCCAGTAGTGGGGCTACAATGATAACCAGGCCAAGTAATAATTTTTTCACTCTGCACTTCTTGGCCTTTAGATAAGGAATGTAATTTTTGCTTTTTTGCACAACAAATTCAAGAATATAGGCACTCTCATCCTCACTCTTTGACCCCCTCGTTGGCTCAGATGCCTCGATTACTATCTTACTATCTAAACACAATGTGGAAAAATGATTGGAATGAGGTCTAATGCGCCCTAACTCATGAATTTTACTACTATTTGCATCCCCATATTTACACACACTCAAGTCTCCCAAAGTAATGTTATCTACGCCCTCATGAATTTTACTACTATTTGCGGCCAAACGCACACGCAAGTATACGTGGTCGTCAAGTAATAAAGTGACTAAACGTCGGATGTCGAACCCATGAGGACTTGTGATTAGCTATTCACTAAATTAGACTATCCTAATTATCTAAATAAGAATTAAACCTAGTAGTATAGGACTCTAATCTAATTAAGATAAAAAGAAGACAAATAATGAACTTTGAACATCGGAAGAGCAGATTTTTAAGTTATCAATGTTATGAAAACGATATAGGGTTATGGGCTATCTAACAATCATATTGTATTCTTCAATTGAATAGACTAATTAACTTATCTGGTTTATTGGTTGACAGGGTTAATATTGCTCATTAGAATCTGTCGAGTTCTTACTCGCCTATTCAAGCTAACCTAACGCCTATATGTCTATGGAGTTAGAATCAACAAGAACGCATTTATATTTCCTGTACATCAACCAAGCAAGGCAATTAGGTATATGTCTATCCTAACCGCGAATCCATTCCCCGATACCCAAGTTCAAGAGCTTGCTCTACTCAATCCTATAAGCAATCTAGAATTCCCACTTTCGAGTTCAACTCTAGATTCGTAGATAGTATTCAATTGGTGATCAAGCAATCAAATAATTAAGCATAGGATTGAATAAATAAACCAATATGATAAATCAAGAATGCAAAATCAATATCCGAATAACAATAGTCATGAAAGAACCACAACCCTAGAACGTGAAATTTAGCTCCACATAGACATGGTAGCCAAACAACAAATCATACAAAGAAACATAAAAATTACTAAGTTTGGTGGAAGAAAGATGGAACTTGATGAATTTCGGCCTCCACGGCAGTTGTATGCTTGTGTTTTCCTTTCAAAAACGTCCTCCTCCCTCCAAAATAGGTTTAGGTAGGCTTTTATATGAGTTGGGGACGTCTTGGGGTCGAAATAACCGAGTCCCGGTCGAAATAGGACATGTTCATGTTTTGAGCGTTCAGGGCAGTGTGGGGCGCTGGCCCTGGCGCTCAATTTTTTAGCATTCTGTTTTGAGCGCCATAGGGAATGCCCCACGCTGCCTGTGGCCCTAAAATGTGCACTTTTGCCTTTTTTTTCCATTTTCGCTCCAATTCGCGTGCTTTCGTCTCAAATCGCATCCGAATGATTCCTACACATAAAAGTATCATAAATTAACACAAATCATTATATTATACATTCGTAATTTACTAGACGTGAGCACAATGTGAGGCAATATGCATCAAAATATGCATACATTAAGCCAAACATCATAACGCTATGGAGAAAAATGTACTCACTTTGTTTTATAAAACATCAACCCATAACTTTAAAAAAAAAATGATACTATAACATGTTATACTACAATAATAATGTGAGAATTCATTACATGTTAGTTAATTTAAATACTTTGTTTATTTGATGAATGATGAGATGACTTATTCTAGAAGAAGAAATAAAACGCCATGCGACCACCATCAATATAAACATTTTCTTATAAAATTACCCCTTTATTTTAGGTAAAAATCTCTCTACGAGGGACACCAGAAAAAAATGAGAAAAGAACTTTTCCCTGAAATCGTGTAGAAATGGTTTAGAGAAGCAATTTAAGATCATATGATGAATAAATTACTACCTCACTTGTCGGATTATGCTCGGTTTATTGTTGTTGTTGTTTTCATTTTGAATTGTATCAAAATTTAGCATAATTCTACTAATTGCTAAGATCGAAATGATCAGATTTGAGAGTTTTATTTCAGAGAAATTATTTTGGGACAAGTGTTATTTTATCACTTGTGTGTGCCTCTTTTATATTGTTGTTCTCTCGGTAATTTTTATATAGTGAATTGTTATCTCATATAACTATTCATAATTTATATTATAATAATTTTTCTTGTTATATTCTAATCAACATTTTCAACTTGATAAATAACGCATAAATTATGACTGCAAGATTCTCTAATCTTAGGACCCGTTTGGTCATAAGTTTTGCCAAAATAAATTTGGGATTTATTTGGCAAACTCATGTTTGACCATAAATTTTGCCCACATTTTGACAAAATCCCAAATCCCAAAATTACTCCAATTGCTGATTTTGCCAAAATTTGGGAATTATATATATGTTTTTCCAAAATAAAGTTGGGAAATATGTTTTGAAAATGTATATCCAAACACATTTTCATCTTCAAACCAAACTTCACCCAAATTAAATTTTTCAAAATAAATTTGGGAATCTATGATCAAATGCTAGCTTGATTTGGATATGAGAACAGTGTTATAGATTTTATCTTAAAGAAAAAAATAAATAAAAAATCATAATGGTGCACTTTCCAAGACAAATAAATATAAATAAATAAATATTAAAGCTATAACAAAAGTACTTGCCCTAGTTTTAAATAGCATTAGTTATAGTGTTGAGTAGAGATGCTTTTGTTCTGTCTGTGAGTGTTTCATTGTTATGATTTATGTGCGGAAAGGTCTCTTATGTTTGCAGTGTTTGCAGAAACTCTGCAATATATGCAGTCTCTTCTTGAAAATTGTTTCTTACGTGTTATTATGGTTTTTACTGTAAGTAAAACTGGAGTGTAGTCCGTAATTTTACCCACATTAGATACTGTAAGATATTGTACTTTGAAAAGTAAACTGAAATTTCACTTTGACTTTCTATTAACAAAACGAAAT